TATATATATATATATATATATGGTAGAATTATACAGGAATGTTTAAAATTTATTTGAACGGATACAATTGTCGAATACAAGAATCATCTAGAATAATAATAATTATTAATAGTTTGCTGATAATTTTAATAATATGGAACCAATCTCTGAATCAATAATTGCAACAATGTTCCAAGAAACTGCCATACATTTTATATCTTCGAACAAATGAGAATAAATATAAATTCGTATTCAACTAGACTCTCGTTCAAGAATAAATTTGTATTTGTTCGCTGCATAATCTATACTTTGGCGGCTAATGAAAGGCGGCTGGTTGCTTAATAGCCAGACCCAGAAAGGTGTCGTTAATTTAAACAAACCGGGAGAAAACTGAGAGACAATATTTTCAGCCTGGAGGAGCGGTACCCCTCCCCCAAGAGCGATCTCCCAAGTCACCAATTAAGCCTCGCTACTCTCCTGGAACACGTTCCCGTCAAGATCAACAAGCTGACACTTTTCCAACTACAGATTCCCTTGTTTGCCGATTTCCCTCTTTATTTACCCCCGCCCCTCTCCCCTTGCTTCTTCTCCTTTCTTCCCGATCCTCGATTCTTCCTCCTCTTCCGCCGAAAGTCGATTTGCCCGTGAACCCTCTCGTGGACCGGTCCCTGCAAATTGCATAAGGGGTCGGTTTAAAGCAAAGTCTCCGGCTTATGAGGAGAATGCGGTGAAAGTTGAACCAGCGTTGAATTTTTGATCGGTCGAAACTGGACCTGGATGGACCGTGTGGCCGTTGCCATCGAATGTTCTGCGATAACTCGTACGAGTTTATGTATTTTAAATGTAGCGTAATATCCTCGAGATTGAGGATTTTTAGAAATCTTTTCAAATCTGATATTGATCTGTTGGTTGAAATTATATTGGATTCATTTTCGCTTCTTCGAAGAGGAAATTTATAACTGTTTTAAATTTATGCTCGCGTGTCGTGTTGATAGAGTCTGTTATAATAATAGATATAAATTAGAAATAGAAAAGTATCCTCGATAAGAAGAGAATAATGTATGTGCTATTGATCGTGCACAGATGCGATGTTTGATATACGGGCAAGATATCTACTTGGATTCGTATCTACCGATTGAATCTACTACTGCAAAGTCTTGCCATTTCATTTCCTTTTTCATTCCCTTTTTTATTTTTACCCTTTATATAATTTCGAAAAAACAATTAATACTTCTTATCCTAAATAATTCACAACAACACAATAAATTTTCCATTATAGATATCAAATTGTTCAAACATCGCGTTTGAAAAGAAAGAAGAAAAAAAATCTGTTAAAAATCGATCATCTCGCTTTTTAACTCGCCTTAAAAAAAAAAAAAAAGATTAAATGGATTCCGCCGACAATGGATTCAACCGGACGATGGATTGAAACGCTGTTAATGTACATCTTTTATGATGGTGAGCGTGTATCGCGATCGTCAGCTGAGCGTCGCATACCTCGAAGCGCCGATCGAGAGAATCGGCCTTTATTCCCACCCTCTCTTTTCCGCCGGCGAATGGCAGCCGTCTACGGCTGGCTGCGCTGGATGGATTCGGGGGATTTTATATTTGATGAGAGCGCGTGTGAAGCATGAAACGGGGCCGGCGAGTAGTGGGCAGCGATGCGTCGCGGCTCGGAAATTGGGAATTTCAATGACTCGTGCGCGATTGCGGCCAGATCTCGGACCGATCGTTTTTTACGCGGCCGAGTCGGAAAAGTAGAACGAAGATCCGGAACGGATCGCGATTAAACGCGATTCTCGAATGCGTGTCGATGCGCGAACGTGGTCGTCGTCCCCCCGTTGTTCCGCCTGGCGGAAGCCGCGGTTTTGCACATTGTGGAATTCGAATTAATTACGACGATCTCTCGCGGGCTGAGTAAGTTATGAGGAGGGGCATCGTGCGCGGTGTAAATCGATATTCCAAAGTTCTCGATCGAAAATTGTTTGTTTGGCATTGATCCATCGAAATTTAATTCTTATCGTTGGTACTCATCGAATTGGAGAAATTGGATGCGTTTTAGGAAACGCGATTCAAGTTTGGATTTGAATTCTAAGATTTGTAAAAATGGTAAAGGAAGGAAATACTTGAATCTTTATGAAATAACGAAGAGATGCCAAGATCAAACAGTTATGAAAGCATTTTTATTTATTTATTGTTATTGTATCGAATTCAATAATGATTTCATAACGTTTTTTGGGGTGTAATTATTAATTATGTCTAATTACAATTTCTTCATTCAGAAATCAATATTTTATATAATTCAGCAGAAATGAGAAACATAAGAAAGGAATAGGATTTCCTTCCAATTTTCAACAATTCGATGTTTTACAATATTGTACGTCCGGACAGAAGATATCTTCTCAGAATATACCTTCATATACTTATCCTCTAAGATAACAGCGATCCCAAGAAAGTTTTACAAGTAATTTACAAACTCTCTCTGGTACTCACTTCGAATCCAACATAATTCCCCTCTCCTGTAAAAGAAAGTAAATCAGAAAAATTCCCGAAGAAGAAAGTTCATTCCTTTTCTTCGATTGCGAAGGAGAGAATCCCTCTTATTTATTTAGACGCGTGACGTCGAACGAACATTTCTTCGTTGTAATAACTAACGTTGAACGAGAGCAGAAATGATGAGACCATGAGAATAGGAAGAGGAAGAAGGATGCGAGAGGAAGGGGTACGT